TGCACACATACACACACATAACCTAGTGAATCTATAGTGTTGCTCAAATGTGTGTGTTTGTGTGTGTGTTTAGTGCTAAGCACTTGCGATTAGATAACCTACATCTGATAACCTATCAGGAGGCTCATCCCTAACAAAAAGATTGAAGAAGACTCTAAATATCTCCCATGTCCATAGATTAGCAAGAATTAATATTGTGAGAATGACAAGCATACCTAAATCATTCTACAAATTCAATGCTATATTGATCAAAGTCCCAGACATTCAACACAGAAATAGAAAAAAATAAAAAAATTCCTATTAAACCACAAAAGACCCCAGAAAGCCAAAGAAATCTCAAACAAAATGAACACTGCAGGAAGGATTAGCATTGCAGATTTCAAACTCTATTATTTCCAATAGGATGATCAAGGAATGTCTTTGATGTAGTGGCTTTCAAAAGACTTGTATTTTCCACTTGAGATACTCCTTTTAAAAAATACTGGAATGATACTTTACTGCAAAGGCAAACCTATTTTTTTCATAGCCCATCTTGTGCCTATTATATACAGTATTTTTTACTATCCTCAAATCATTTCAGTTGTTCTATTTTATATCTTCTGTGCTTTACCCTAATCTCCTGAATGTTTTATTTTCTTTTCTTATTTTCACAGAGTTAAAAATTTGTTTTTTTTTCTATTTTTTTGTATTTTATATCCTTTCAATCATATTCATGAGTGATTACCTTAAATGTTAATATATATATGACAACAAAATGTTTCTGTAAATAAAATTGAATGTATCTCACATCTACACTCTTCTTCCAAATCTTTTTTTTTTTGCATGTGAAATTTATTTTTTATTTTTTTTTATTTTTTTATTATTATTCTCATTAGTTACATTTTGTTAATTCTGTATCCCAGCTGTATCTCTCATTCCCTCCCCAATCCCACCCTCCCTCCCTCATCTCCTCCCTGCCCCTTTCCAAGTCCACTGATAGGGGAGGACCTCCTCCCCTTTCATATGACTCCATTTGGTCAGGTATTTTCAGGACTGGCTGCAAAGTCCTCCTCTGTGGCCTAACAGTACTGCTCCTCCCTTGGGAGGTGGGGAGGTCAAATTTTATAAAACCTCCCATGTTTTAAAGTTTTAAAGAATTTATTACCTTATATATTCTACTATCTTTTTACATGTAGCGTGTTCTGATTAGTGTATCTAACTTATTCTCCTAGCCCTTATTAACCATTTTTAAAGCTTATGCATACATACATTTGCCAGTATTTATGCTTGCTGTTCCCAGTTACATATTCATAAGTTCTACAAGAATATACTCTTTTAGAAGTCATTTTAAGAGGGTTTATTTAATCATTTACTTATAATTGTGCATAGAGAGCATACTTTATGTTAGGTAGAGTTTCAGATGCTGAAGAAATATCTGTGAACAGAAAAAAAAGTCCCTACCACAATGAAATTTTCTACCTATTGGAGTAAAAGAAATAGTAAACAAAGATATATTTTGTCAGTGCTGTGAAGAAGAAAAATAACAAATGGTTAGGAGAGAAGGATTGTGTTAAGATGTTCAAAGAATGTCTTTTCACTGTATGGTCCAATGAGACGAAAGACTATGGGGAAGCCAGCCATAAAAAAAGACAGAGGTAGAATGGCTCTTGAGTACTAAATGCTCTGTCCTACTGTACTTGTTTATAAATTAGCTTTATGCTGACCTAGCTCTTTTGGTATAAAATCCAGGAAAAATAGTCTCTACCTCTTCCTACCCTGGCATTTCCAAGACAATTTTTCTTTCTTTCATTTTTTTTTATTTCTCTTGTTACCTTTAAGAAGTCTGATGTCAATTAAATTGATAACTCTTTTCAGATAATGTCTTTTTAATTTTGTTCATGTGAACTCCTTTTTGGTATTCTTTGAGTCTACTCTGTGCTGGAATGGCTTTGCTCTATTTTAATGTATTGACTTTGCAGCTCATTATGGTTCTTGAACCTAAAAATACATCTATTTCAACAGTTCCAGGAAAGTTCATCCATTAGTTTACTGAAAATTGTTCATTCCCCACTTTCTGTATTCTCTCGTGTTCAGAATCTTCACAAACATCAACTAAATTTTCCCTTTCATTCTCTCATTTTTCGCTATCTGTCTGAAATGTAAACTGAGCAGTTTTTCTTCATATATACACTAGTTCATTAATCTCTCTTCAGTAATATCAAGTCTACTACCAATTAATTTTTTTTCTGGCAACTTTTTTCCTTCTATAGTATGTGACTTCAAACCTGTTTTTTCAAACCTATTTTTATTTTTCTCTTCCCCCCAAAACCTTTCTAATTTTAACAACACATATTTCCTAATCTCTATTTGAGAACTATATTGTATGAAGTCTTTGGAATGAGTATAATTTTTTTTATATACTGTATCAGATACTGACCATTGTCTTAGGTGTTTTGTTGCACATTGAATTATAGTGTTGTCCTTCCAGAGCCTTTTTGTGACATCACTTCCATTGGCATCCAAGACCATTTTTATATTAAATTCTCATTTTGAAGGTTTTAGATTAAGCAGACAATGTAAATTCACTTGAACATCAATCCAAGATTAAAAGAGTCTGAATTTCAACAGAAAGATCTTTCCGTTACCTCCACCCACTTTTTCTTTTCTTTTTTTTATTTTACTTTCTGGCTATGGTCTGATTCTGCCTTGCTAATTTTATTTAGTTCACTGCTTTTTCTGATGTTGGAGTATTTCATGATTGTGGCTTTATATGGGAGTCTAGTTCTAGTTTATAGGCATGAAGCATCTCTGTTTATAACTGTTATGCTAATTATTTATGAAACCTCTAGCCTCTCACAAAAGTGTTCTAGTTCAGGCAGCAATTGAAGATACTTCCCATTCTTAGAGATGGGAATGAGATATTTGATGTAAAAAAGAACAAGACTGTTTAATTTATAAAGATCTCAAACATGAAAGCAATAATGTATGGCAGGAAAGAGTTTGCTCAAGGTATGATTAGAAACAGTGAATTAAATTTTCATATACTTCTACTTGCTATTTAATTTCTTTTAACCTGGCTAGCTAAAAGATGTCTGTACATTTTGGCCTTTTAAAATTAATTTCAATTTTATTTAGAATTCAAAACAAAATAAAAATTAAATTCAAAATTATTTAGTAAAACTATATGAAGCATTCTTCCAGTCACCAATCAAATAAAACTCATTTAATAATTTTTTTCTTAGTTTATTCCCTTTGTATCCAAACTGTAGCACCTATCCCCATCCCCTCCCAATCCAACTCTCCCTTCCTCCTTTTTTCCTATACTCCTCTGCCAGTCCAGTGATAAGGGAGGTCCTCCTCCCCTTCCATCTGACCCTAGTCTATCAGGTCTCTGGGTAAGATGCTCAATCTTCGTTCAGAAAGGCAAATGAGATGAACATCAGAAGAGGGGAAAATGGGGAAAAGGACAGGAGCCTTCCACAGAGGACCTCTGAATGACTCTACCCAACAGTGTATCAAAACATATGCTAAGACTCATATCCAACCTTTGGGCAGAGTACAGGGAATCTTATGAAAGAAAGGGGAGATAGAAAGATCTAGAGGGAACAGAAGCTCTACAAGCAGAGCAACAGAAGCAAGAACTTTGGGCCCAGGGTTTTTTTTTTTTTTCTGAGACTAACACTCCAAAAAAGGACCACGCATGGAGATAACCTAGAACCCCTGCAACAGCAGTAGCCCATGGCAGCTCAGTGTCCAAGAGGGTTCCTTATTTAATAATTTTAAAAAGCAGAATTTTAAAGTTTGAATAAAGTTTAATACAAAGCACGGAATGTCTGTAAAATATATTTTAAATGTCAAAATAATTTTTGTGCATCCTAATAGCCTTTCAATGCTTAACTTTATTGAAATGTTTAGTTCTTATTTTTTATGGATATGAGTCAAGTATTCTTATTATATGTGGATAATTTATTCTTTTCAAACCTAGTAACTTTTTTGTTCAAAAGTATTTTAGTTTTTAGAAATATTTTTTAATTTAATATTTTTATATTTATAAAAGTATATATGAGGCTAGTGTTACAATTCTCACTTTACACAGAAATAAAATAAAACTTGGTTAAGTGGATTAGCTGAGTCACATAGCTAGCACATGAGAAGATCAGAATTTTGCCCAGGCCAGTCTAGCTCTAACACCATTTTTAGTACTCATGTGACTATGTCTGGAATCTTTACTTTAGTAAAATAATCAGTGATGCTGTGCTTGTTCTTGGGTGTTGACCAGAGAGGACTGTTGGACACAAGCGAAAGTCTTTATTGGCCAGCTGGCGACCAGATTGGGTGTTCAGGATCCCATCACATGCTGAGCCTTTCTTGGGGAGAGCTTCAAGCACAAATACCATGTTCTGGCTTGACGTACTTCAGTTAAGATCAGTTAGTCAGTAGCAGAACTCCAAAAGCCAAAAGCAAGAAATATTTTTGACAAAGCAAAATATAATAATATAAAACAAAAACAATCACATTAAAGTTGGACAAGGCAAACCAACAAAAAGAAAAGGCCTTAAGAGTAGACTCAGGAATCAGAGACCTACTCATTCACATACCCAGAAATCCCCTGAATACATGTATAAAGCTAGAGCACAGATGAAATTTGTATAAAAATATATGGATTGATTTTTATGGTTATGGTTGTAATGACCTTCAATATCCAGATAAAATCATTCATCTATAAAGACAAAGAATTTTTTTTTTCTAGAGATACCATGGCATAGAGAAGAAACGTGTTCAGCTTGTAGTATATGTAGGGCAGTGTTGGAAATGACTTTTCTGGTAAAGTATGTTGGATATATGGTTAGATATTATCAGTAATTGGTAAATATGGCAGAAATTTTCAGTGCTTCTAATAGACTCTTCCATTATATCACAGGAAATATTTCAGTTAATATTTGCCAAGTGCATTGTTGATCCTCATCAGAACCCTACTGAAAACTTGTTTCAATCTTTCTTTATTGCTCTCTCTGTTCTAGGAATATACTATTGATGTCTTTTTTAGACAAACATGGCATGATGAAAGACTAAAATTTGATGGACCCATGAAGATCCTTCCACTCAACAATCTTCTGGCTAGTAAGATATGGACTCCTGATACCTTCTTCCACAATGGCAAAAAATCAGTGGCTCACAATATGACCACACCCAACAAGCTGCTCAGACTGGTGGACAATGGGACCCTCCTCTATACAATGAGGTAAGAAAGTGGTACCCACCGCTCACAATATGTTGGATCAAGGACATGTGTTGAAAGTAGTGGGTTTGAGGTTATACACCAAAAATTCCTTTGGTTTATCATACAGACACATGTATGTTATTTTTAATATTTACCTAGTAATATATACATATATATGAATTCAATACTTTTAAATATATACTATACTTTCAAGATTATGTATTTGTACAAAATATGTATGTATATTGAAAATGTATTTGTATATATTTGAAAATATATTTGTATAATATATGTACATATTTTGAAACATATATATGTATATATTTCAAGTTCATATATTTGCACATGCATATTGCTACATAATCACAGTTTTCACACATTTACATGCATACATACATACCTGAATAGTCTATATTCCACATAGTTATAATATGTACATTCTGAGACACAAAGAAGTTTGTCGATATTCTATAAATATGTACATATTATTTTGACAAGATGGCAGGGCTGGGAGGACACTGTGTCTGAGGAGCAGGACAGCAGTGTCAACACAGTGACCAGGAGACTGAATTCTGGGACCTAAAATACCAGCTTTTGTGATTACAAGGTGAGAGGAAATCCTACGGTGTGGAAATCAATTGGGACTGACCTCAGGTCATCCAGTCAATCCCTGGAAAAGTCCTGGGGACTGGCGGTTGCACCCGCCACTGCAGATTGGAGCACAGAGCCTCCTGCGGTACCCCTAGTTGCCATTCCGGACTGGGACACATAGCTTCTGACCCAGAGTGAGGCGTCCAACCTCCGGACCAGAGTGGAGACCTCAGTTGCCAGCCTACAGAGGAGTACACAACCTCAGGCTCAGAGCAGCACACCCAACCACCATTCTAGACTGGGGTGCACAGTCTCCTGCCCAAAGCAGAGCACTCATCCTCTGGCCCAGAGACTTGCTGTGCATTCGACTCACCTTCCCAGACAGAATTGAGTGCCCCAGGGTACCAGACTGAATTTCCTTATTAGGAAAAAAACCACAGCTAAGGAATCAGCAGGTTCTTCAAGAGGACTGTACCTGGAAAACAGTGTAACAACAGTAGTAGCTCACTAAATTCAGAACGAGAAACCCAGCAGCAAGGCAGCTGTCTCCAGGACTTGAACGGGTGAGAGGAGAGCCCCCCTGACTAACAAAGACCACAGCCACTACTCAGGTCTATACATCTGAGGTGAGCAGTGGCAATTCCTGAGAAACAGTGGCCATACAATGACCATACCCAAAAAGCAGAGGAGGCCTCCTTCAGGAAAAATCATCTTCCTGCTGAGGAGATTCTCCCTAACCCAGGATTCCAGGAAGCACCAGAAACTAACAGCCAACACCTAAAACAGCCCAGTGGGTAGAGGTCAACGTAAAAGCTCAACCAACAAAAGACAGAGCAATATGGCATCTCCAGAACCCAGCTATCCAGGAGTGAGCAGCCCTGGATAACCCAGCATAACTGAAATTCAAGAAGAAGACCTTACATCTATGCTGATGAAGAGGCTACTAGAAGAAACAAATAAAATACGTAAAGAATTAGAGAAAGATAAAAATCAAACAGATTATGGCCATCTGTGAAGAAATACAGGAAGATGCAGCTAAACAGTTTGTGGCCTTCTAGGAGAAATAACTAAATCACTGAAAGAAATAAAAGAAACAGAGGTTGGTTCAAACAAACAGCTGAAAGAAGTGATGGAAAAACAGGAAAATACAATCAGACAGGTAAAGGAAATAAACAAAACAACTCAAGATATGAAGACAGAATTGGAAAAATTAAAGAAAACACAAATGGAGGAAATCAAGGAGAAGAAGAATTTAGGAAAGAAAACAAGAACTACAGAGATAAGCATAACCAATAGACTACAAGAGATGGAAGAAAGAATCTCAGGTATAGAAGATAAAGTAGAAGAAATCGATGTATCTGTCAAAGAAAATGTTAAATCCAAAACATTCCTGACACAGACCGTCCAAGAAATCCAAGACAATATGAAAAGACAAAACCTAAGAATAACAGGAATAGAGGAAAAAGAAGACTCCCTGCTCCAAGGCCCAGAAAATACCTTCAACAAAATCATAGAAGAAAATTTTCCCAACTTAAAGGAGAGGCCTATAAGAATACAGGAGGCCTACAGAACACCTAATAATTAGACCAGAAAAGAAAATCCTCCCACCACATAATAATCAAAACAGTAAGTATACAGAACAAAGAAAAAATACTAAAAGCTACGAGAGAAAAAGGCCAAGTAACACATAATGCAAACCGATTAGAATCACACCTGACTTCTCAACAGAGATTATGAAAGCAAGAAGGGCCTGGACAGATATAATGCAGAATCTATGAAAACACAGATGTCAGCCCAGGCGAATATATCCAGCAAAACTCTGTCATCATAGATGAAGAAAAAAAGATATTCAATGACAAAAACAAATTCAGACAATACCTACCCACAAATCTAACATTACAGAAGATACTAGAAGGAAAAATAGAACCCAGGAAAACTAACTACATTCAGGAAAACATAGGAAACAAATAACCTCACTATAGCAAAGCTAAAAGTAGCCAAGCACACAAACACACTACCACAGCCAACAGCACAATCAAAACTTCTAATGGCCACTGGTCATTAATCTCCCTTAACATCAATGGACTCAACTCTCCAATAAGAAGACACAGACTAACAGAACGGATGCATAAACAAGACACAACAATCTGTTGCATACAAGAACTACACCTAAGTCACTAAGATAGATATTACCTGAGAGTAAAGGGCTGGAAGACGGTTTTTCAAGGAAATGGACCCAAGAAGCAAGCAGGAATAGCTGTTCCAATATCTGATAAAATAGATTTTCAACCAAAATTAATCAAAAGAGATGGGAAGTCATTTCATACTCATCAAAGGAAAACTACACCAAGAAGATACCACAATTCTGAACATCTATGCCCCAAATACAAGGGTACTCACATTTGTAAAAGAAACATTAATAAAACTTAAACCACACATACATCCCCATACATTAATCGTGGGAGACTTCAACAACCTACTCTCAACACAGGACAAGTCAACAAACAAGAAATTAAACAGAGAAGCAATGACTATAACAGAGGTCATGAATCAAATGGACCTAACAAACTTCTACAGAACATTTCACCCAAACACAAAAATACAATAGTATACTTAAGTGACCCCAAAAATTCTACCAGGGAACTCCTACAATTGATACATGCCTTCAGCGAAGTGGCTGGATACAAAATTACCTCAAAGTAATAATTGGCCCTCCTGTACAAAAGACAAAATGGCTGAGGAAGAAATCAGGGAAACAACACCCTTCACAATAGCCACAAAAGACATAAAGTACCTTGGTGTGACCCTAGCCAAGCAAGTCAATGAGTTGTATGAAGAAAGAAGGAAAAGAAGACCTCCCCTACCAGTAGACTTGGGGAGGGGCTTGCGTGGAGAATGAAGAGGAAGGGAGAGATTTGGAGGGGAGGAGGGAGAGAACTACAGGTGGGGATACAAAGTGAATAGAGTGTAATTATTGAAAAAAGTTAAAATAAAAACATGTACATATTCATAGACTTATGTGTATGAGCAAAGCACATATGTATTCAAGACCACCTAAATAGATAAATTTACAAAAACATTTGAAGAGGTATAAGCACTGTACTCTCTAGAGCATGGTAGTCTCAAATACAGTAGCAAAGCAGCCTGATGAGTTATAAAAAGCAAAAGAGATAGTGATAGATATTCTTTAGACAATTTAAAATAAAAATTTGTTTTACGTCTCATTGCCTGGGGTACAGAAGTTTTATATGACTAATTTTTTAAAATAATTTCAAATTATACTTATCAATTTAAACATTGATAAAATATAAAAACATGTGCCTTTCTACCTATATCCTAATACATGAAACTGTACAGTTTTATATTTCATTATTATTATTATTATTATTATTATTATTATTATTATTATTATTATTATTATTATTTGGGTAATTTGATTTTGTGGTAGGTAGAAGAAGAATGTCCCTTATAGGCTCATATGTTGAATGCTTAGTCACCAGGGAGTAAACCGGTTTAAAAAGATTAGCAAGTGTGGCCTTCTTGGGAAAACTGTGCCATTGAGGGTGCACTTTGAAGCTTCAAAAGATTGTGCCAGGCTCAGTCTCTATCTGCTGCTTATGGATCAGGATGTAGCAATGGCTTATTAGGATATAGGTAGAAAGGCAAGCTTCTAGTTAGATAAACACTTTCTTCATAAGTGTTGCCTTCGTCACAGTACCTCTTCACAGCAATAAACAGTGACTAAGACAGTTGTCATGGCATTTTGATGTCAAAAAGATTAATTTTTGCTGGACACATCCCTGTATTTCCAGCACTCAGAGAGGCAGAAGAGGCAGAGGTAGGGGCAGAGGCAGAGGCAGGCGGATCTCTGAATTTGAGGGCAGCCTGGTCTACAAAGTGAGTCCATTACAGCCAAGGCTACAGAGAGAAATGCAAAAATCATGTAATCATACAGGCTTCATCTAATGATTTAAAAGGAAAGGAAAGGGAGGCCAGGAAATCTATAGCAAGGTCAGATTCCCTGAGAGCACCCCTGAGATGGAGGAATGTGTAGCTGTAAGAGTTAAGCTGAAAATACAGGAACTAAGACATGCTAGGAAAATGTAGTATCCACTGAGGAAAATTGCTGGAAGTGATTAGAAACAGACCAAAATGACTACATAGGCTATATATAACTAGTAAGGTCTTAAGAGCCAAGACTGTCTAAGTCCTTTCTGTTCCTGAGACTCTAAACACAGAGGTATAGAATTTAATGTATTCACTGCTGAGTTTTGATCTTCTCATTTGCCGAATCCCTCCTGCCTATATCCTTATTCCGTCTGTTTTGAAATGGGGATGTTTAATATACATTATTGTACTTTGACAGATTTTTTTTCATCTTATAGAAGGTCACATTTAAGAATTTGCTTCACATATTAGTAAAGAGTTTG